TCTATGTTACAAAAAGGCAACAAAACCCCCCAAACAAATAAACCCTTCAATCTGCAGACCTTTCCAAGAGAAAGTAACGGTAACATGAATAGAAAAGAGAGCTTCTCTCAGTCCCCTGCCCCCAGTGAGTCCTGCCCAGTCCTCATGTCCAGCAGAGTGGAACAAAGACTGCCTGGGCTTTAGGAAAGGTGGCAGATAATTTTCAATTCTGCTTTCAGACAACCTGAACAAACTGTTAAGTAAGTAGGGGAGAACGGACATTGGGAAAGAAGCTAACAGCATCTGTCACACAAGTATAGGAGGAGAAAATAGCTTCATAAAGCCGACAAATTCTGACAAAAATACCACTTTGAAGAAAATGTACCAGAAATGTTGTTTAATGTCCATTAAGATGAGAGCATTTGGGAGCTATTCAGAAATAACTTTTTGAATATGCAATGTACCAATGTTTTCAAAGAGTAAATTATAATAAATACATTGCAGTAAAATTTTGGAACACAACTTAGGGTTCATTTTAGGAAAATGATAAAGACACAAACGTTTATATGAAAACATACTGAAGTGCTGGGGCTATAGCTCAGTGGTACAGTGCTTGCCTCGCATGTGTGAGGCATGGGTTCGATTCTCGGCATCACATATAAATAAATAAAGATCCACTGACAACTTAGAAAATATTAAAAACAAAACAAAACAAAAAAACAGACTGAAAAATTAATGAGCTAGTGGCCCAGCCTGCAGGTGAGATGTTGGCAGGGGACTCTACACTCACTGTACTACGTTTGTTTCCAGTACAGATTATTCTGCAGTCATTCATGAAGTGCTGAGACGGAGGCACCTAACAGACTCCACTCTTGGTGTCCCCTGGTGTCCTCCAGTGAGTTCCTGAATCACTGAAAAACTTCCAAACACACTGAGAGGTTTTGCATTCAGGGACCATTTAACACAAGAGGCATCCTTGAAGGCTTTCCCTGTTCTTTGTGTTAATAAATTTTCATCTTTAAAAAAGTGAGAGAACAAGTCAAATGTGGGGGTGCATGTCTTTTAACTCCAGCTACGTGGGAGGCTGGAGCAGGAGGACTGCAAGTTTGAGGCTAGTCTGGGCAACTTAGCAAAGTTCTGTCTCAAAAAGGGCTGGGGGTGTAGCTCAGTGATAGAGCACTCATGCGCAAGGCCCTGTGTTCAAGCTCCAGTACTTAACAAAACGAAAAAACCAGAACATTCTCAAGTCTTTCCCATAGTCACTGTGGGCATACCTCACTGTCTGGTGGTCAGTAATGTGGACATTTGGGCCACAGGGTTTTACACATTTCTGAAGTCTTCCTCTGTTGTGTGATCTCACGTGTGTCAGACACACACTCTTTTGACCTTCAGAGGGCTTTCCCCTGAGTGGGAGCTATTACTGAAGGGTTTCCTATCATTCCACTCCTCAGGTTTTTCCCAATACATAATCTTTCGGGCACGTCGGAATGAGTGTGGGCTGAAAGCTTTACCACAGAGACGGCGCTCACAGGTTTCTCTCCAGAATGGATGGACCAGAGAGCTTACTGAGGCTATGTCACAATGATTAAAAGGATGAGGGTCTGCTGAAAGCTTTTCTTCATTAATTTCATGGCAGCTTTCTAAGAAGGGTCTCTGATCTGTCTCCTGATACTCATGTTTCTGTAGTCTTCTCCCACAGTATCACAATCATTCTGTGACCAATTCCATATGAAAGAGGTGAAAACATCCTTCTGCGCCTAGGTGGTAGGACATTATGGCTTCTTCAGTGGCCCTCCCTTGAATCACTTACTTTGGGAGGAACCTGCTGCCACATCGCAAAGCTACATAGCCTTGTGGAGAGGCCTATGTGGTCAGGAAGTCTCCTGTCAACAACCAGCACCGACATTCTAGGCATGTGAGGGCCATCTTGGAAATGGACCCTTCATTAGCAAAGACCTGCTGACCACAGCCCTGCCTGACATCTGGGCTGAAACCTCAAGAGATCCTGAGCCAGAACTACAAAGCTAAACTGTTCCTGAATTCCTTTTGGAAACTGTGAAATAATAAATGCTTCTTGTTTTAAGTCAAAGTTTTGGGGAATGATTTGTTAGGCAGAAACAAGATAACTTGTATACCTGGTTGAGTTCTCTCAGGTTGTCTTAGGGTGAGAGGTCAACAAGTGCTTTCTCATAGAGATTTCCAGTCATTTCTCATCACAACTCATATCCACCTGTTATGTATTCTCTTGTGCACGGAGAGATAAGAGTTGCTGGTAAAAGATTTCCCACAATGGTTACATTCATAGGGCTTTTCTCCAGTGTGAGTTCTCAAGTGCTTCTTAACAGCAGAGAGGTTATTAAAGGCCTTCCCACAGTCACTGCACTCGTAGGGTTTCTCTCCAGTATGTATTCTCTTGTGCACAGTCAGAGAAAAACTGCTGCTGAAGGATTTCCGACACTCGTTACATTCATAGGGTTTCTCTCCTGTGTGAGTTCTCACGTGCTGTGTCAGATAGGAGCTCTTCCTGAAGGCTTTCCCACAATCATGGCACTCATACGGTTTCTCCCCTGTATGAATGCTGTTGTGTCCAGTAAGAGAGGACCTGGTGCTGAAGGCCTTTCCACACTGATTACATTCATGGTGATTCTCCCCTGTATGGATTCTCTTGTGGCTTTTGAGGTTACAACTAGTGCGGAAGACGTGAAAACACTGGTTACATTCATAAGGTTTTTCTCCGGTGTGAATTCTCACGTGCAACCTAAGGGATGAGGGATCACTAAAGGCTTTCCCACAGTGATTGCATTCATAGGGTTTCTCTCCATTATGAATTCTCCTATGAATAGTAAGGTAAGACCTGCTGCTGAAGGATTTTCCGCACTGATTACAGTCATAGGGTTTTTCTCCAGTGTGAATTCTCTTGTGCTGAGTAAGGTTAGATTTGGTGCTGAAGACTTTAAAGCACTGATTACATTCATTGATTTTCACTCCACGATGACTTCTTTCCTGTTGATT